TGCTTTAAGGGTATGGCAAGTGGGCTAATTTGTATTTCAGATGAATTTCCTAGTTTCTAATCATCAGAATGCCAATACATGTTTAAAAAATGCCTATCTTGGTACATTAAAAAGTAGTAAACAACTATTTGAGAGCTAGGATTAGGGTTAGTTAGTCAGACATTCTTCTTTGCATTTGATTTTGTGACAGAACATTATGAATGGAGACATTATTTTGATGTGTTAATCAATATGACATCATTATCTTTTACTTTAAATAAGCATATAACACTGAAAATAACAGTGTTGCACAAATATCCTGTTTTTACTGTATTGTTGTATTGTTTTTATTTAAATTTCATGAACAAGTTTGAGTTTATTCTTTATTCTTGGTTTGATTTTCTGGTGGGTGGTAACAACTCTCTGCAATGCTAAAAACTTTTTTGCCATAATGTACTGGCTTTTTTTATTACGTTTTTTTACGCAGAAATGTACTTGATCGAAAAAACTTGAAAAAAGGTAACTTTTCTCATGTGTGAAGATAAAATTTGAGCAATTAAATTTCAAATAAATGACTGAAACTGAACAAAAGATCCAATTGTCCAATTCCAGCATTACTCTCAGTTTAATATGCCTCCCCAAACAGAGGGAACCTCATGCCATCAGTCTTGGGTCTCGGACGTGAGCAAGAGATATATCTGCTCTTTAACCATACCTATACACTGGGCAACATGTTTTAATTGCTTTAAACACTAAAATAAATGGGATATACGGGTGAAAAACAAAACAAAACAGAAAGAAAGAAAGATGCTGACAGTTCAGTCAATGAAAAGATTTTACATTTAGCATTAGTCTCATGTATCATATATGTTTATGGTCTGACTTTCTAAGCTAATGACATTTTTTTTTTTGCCCATATGCTGGCAAGTTCCACACACCGTGATAAAGTGTAATCCTACCTCTTGTGCATACAACATCATGACAATAATTGCTAATAATTACTAGCCATGCACAGAAAAAGCAAAATAAACCACATTAAATCAAGAATCTAACATGTGACTCATCCCTGAGAAAACTGGCACGCTCACAACCTTGAACGCATCCTAATTTACCATCCCATTCCTCAAGAGTTCTCCCTGACATACTGAATTATAAGGGGGCATATTCGTATGCCTGATTGGCCTTAAGCCGTGTTTCGGGGGCGTTGTGAGTACACCACACAGACAGCGGATCGGCTTGGTAGCGTAGTACCGTATGTAAATGCACTCTCCTATGACTCCAGCCCACCACAAGGCATGTAGCCGAGAGTGGGAGTCAAGGCTGATTGTGTCGAGGGTACTTCTAGATAGAGATAGAACACCCACTACTGTAGCGTTCTCCAGCGGAGGAAGAAGTTATACGAGGGTTGCTTGTTAGGACACGCTGGCTTTGGAATGCAGGGACCGAGGGCCCCTCGAATGGAGAGAGAGAGTGAAAGAAAGAGGGAGAGAGAGAAAGGTTAGATCAGGAACACATCTACTGTCAACAAATTTGAGGCTAATGAAGAATGAAGCTTCACCTCTTTCTTTGGCAGGGGCTTGCAGCTCCATTTTTTTTTGGTGAGCTGCAAGGGTGCTATCTGGCCTGTCACCTCGAATTTCTCTCCCCAGCCAAACCGGAGGAACGGAAAGCTCGGTGCTTCCTCCTCCATCGAAGGCTGGGTTTTCTATGCCTGCCAGAGCAGCTCTCTCCTCTCTCCCTGACAAAATAAGTAGAAACATAAATAAAAATACAAACACTGACATGAAGGGGCAATACAACAGTTAGGTCAAAGCTACTCGTAAAAAAACAAAAGCATTTTTAATGACAACAATTTTTTTTCTATTGGTGATTTCTCTGCCCCAAAATGTTCAAGCGCATCCTCCTCGAATGACACTAAAACACAATTAGGTTAAAATTAAATCAGAATCTTGCAAAGGAGGAGAAAAAAAAGAGGAGAAGAAGAAATGATTAAAATAATTACAAATTGCGCCCTGACAAGCAAGAGCAAAATTTAGCCCAAAGCCATTTGTCTGTAATTAGTTAATTAATCCTTACACAAATTATGAGCAATAACTCATCAAGCAGGACTCACCCATCAGAAATTCAGCCGACTTGGATTTCTTCTGCTTAGGTTGCTGCAGAGCCTTCTGCTGTAACTTCTGGAGGGAAATTGTTAAATGAATAAATTAGCTGCAGAATGAAGATCATCATTTATGATCCGCAACTAACGCAGTATTTTAAATATGGGACGACACTAAAATGTCATTTAATTTACATCGCCGCTAAAGGGGTCAAGCACTAATTGAACAACAGGAGTGGAAAAGAATTTAATCATAAATAGATAAGAAAAGTTGACATGAATGTGTAATGAAGGTCACATTAAAATACTTCCTCCTTGTTTCTAAAATGAATGGGCATCAACACTCTCTCCTGGAAAATTACGCTTTTTTTTACGAAGGCTGCATGAGAGTACACAGACTTGGTGTGCAAATGAGAATGGAAATCCAGGCACACTTCTCATTAATTCCATTGACATGAACTCAAACTAAAAAAATATTGAATGGAGAGAGAAAAATAATCTTTAAATAACAAGGTGCCAGATACCTTGTATTTGTAAAGCTTGGAGAATTTTCAGTATACTAATTTCAATCCATCTATCTATCTATCTAT